AGAGACAGAGTCTCACTTTATCACCCTTGGTAGAGTGCTGTGGCATCACAGCTCACAGCAACCTCCAACTCCTGGGCTTAGGCGATTCTCTTGCCTTAGCCTTCTGAGTAGCTGGGTCTACAAGTGCCTGCCAGAACACTTGGCTGTTTTTTTGTTGCAGTTTGGCTGGGGCTGGATTCGAACCCACCACCCTCGGTATATGGGGCCGGCGCCCTACCCACTAAGCCACAGGCGCCGCCCTGTTTATGTGCCCTTTTTACTGCTGAATAAAATTTCATAGTAAGTTGGCAATATCATGATACTTTTACATACTTTTGCATGTATTGTCTAAAACTAGGACATTCTCCTATATGACCACTATATGCAAAAAATTAATCTGCCCAAGAAATTTAGCCCTGATACTTTAATAAAGCCTGAAGTATAGTCCATAATCAAATTTCTTGTATTGATCTGTTTTCAAAGCTTGCATGCTGTCTCTGTCCACTGGTTAAGTTGTGGACTTCAACCTGAAACCCTGGTCATCTCATTGAACTCTTTCTTGTACATTAAGTCAAAATGAATTTTCATTCTATTTCTGTGGAAGAGAGGATGGAAGAGAGGGGAACAGACCCCAGGTCCATGGAATAAAAATATTAGCGCTTACTGCCATATATATTCTAGTTTTTATGGTTCTTAAACTTGAAGGAGCATCAGAAAGCTTTTTAAAAATACAGATAGCTGTCACCCTTACCCCAGTCTGATTTAGTAGGGTTGGTGCAAGAATTTGCGTTTCAAACAAGTTCCCAGAACATGCACTGCTGGTGCTGCAGGCCCAGGGACCACAGTTTGAGCATCAGGTCTAGTGCGTGTCTGCCTGATGAATACATGTTGTATTTCCTTTAGCACCTGTGATAACGGAGGAAACCACCCTTCAGCTAGAAGATATCATTAAACAAAGGATAAGAGATCAGGTAAGAAATACATTCACCTTAATTTAAATTTTAGAAATAGTATGAGATTTTGGGAGTGGGACTACTGCTATCTTTATTTTCACTTCATGTCCACATTTTGTTGTGTGAGGTGCTTCTCTTCACTAGTACCAGGAAAGATGGGTCTTGTGCTGGAGGAGAGGGAGAACCAGAAGCCATTCTCTGTGTCTCACCAGCCTGTGGGTGGTGTGGGGTGAAGTTGGTGACTGACTTGCTGTGGTTGCACATGGAGCCCTTGATTTTAGGCACAGTGTCTTGTGTGGCATGTCACATTGTATGTGTGTCTTAGTGTTTTCTGTTGTTTATCAGTTAGTGTCTGAAACTAGGGAATTTATAAAGAAAAGAAGTATCGTTATGGAAACTGAGAAGTCCACATTGAGGGGCCCCATCTGGTGAGGTCTCCCTGTAAAGTCTTGAGGCAGTGTAAGAATCACACACACACAGAGGGGTCTGAGCGTGCTAGTTTGGGTTTCTTCTTCTTCCTAAAAAGCCATCAGTTCCCTTCTTGCGATGACATATTAATTCATAAGTAGACCAATCAATTTATGAGGGCAGATCCCAGGATTTCAGCTACCTCGCAGAGGCCCCACCTCTTAATACTGGTGGGGAATAAGTTTCAACATGAGTTTAGGGGTGGGGGGACATTTAAACCATAGCAATATAGGCTGGGTTCAGTGGCTCACGCCTATAATCCTAGTACTCTGGGAGGCCTAGGCAGATGGATTGCCTGAGCTCACAGGTTCGAGACCAGCCTGAGCAAGAGCGAGATCCTGTCTTTAAAAACAGCCGGGTGTTGTGGCCGCCACCTATAATCCCAGCTACTCTGGAGGCTGAGGCAAGAGAATTACTTGAGCCCAAGAGTTTGAGGTTGCTCTGAGCTGTGATACCGTGCCACTCTACCAAGGGCGACAAAGTGAGACTCTGCCTCAAAAATAAATAAATAAATAAATCCATAGCAATATGGTAGTGCTGCAGTTTTAAAAACATTTCTCAAGGGTGTATCCTTTCAGATAAACTCTGCAGAGTTTTTCTGAAGAATGGATTGATTTCATAACTTAAGGTAAAATTTAGGCATATGGTGTGAATAGTAAAAGATGGCTTTATAACATGTGTGATGTTCATTCACACTTCTGTGTCTCACATAGGAAACCTTTGTAGCTTGGGTGTTATCAGCAGAATATCTTAAAATTAGAAATGAAACAAGGTAAACTTAAGGCTTGACTTTGTCTAAACTGTGATGGAAAAATGTAGAATTAAAGTTGGCAACCGGGAGAACTCATTTACAGTAAGTACAGAAAAGGATATCTGAATAATGCCCTCTTTGCTTTTCACAATGTTTATTCTTTGTGACTTGAATACTCATTTCAGAGGTTGACAATGATTTTTTTGCTATTATTTGCTTACTCTGAAATAGTAAATATTAATATTCCAGAGGAAGATTCTGAAGTGAACCTAACATAAGGTATAGGCTTTGTTAACTTTCTGCCTGCCCTTTGTATTTCAGGCTTGGGATGATGTCGTACGTAAAGAGAAACCTAAAGAGGATGCGTATGAGTATAAAAAGCGTCTAACCTTAGACCACGAGAAGAGTAAATTGAGCCTTGCTGAAATTTACGAACAGGAATACCTCAAACTCAACCAGGTAAGGAAGCCTCAAAGGCAAAACCATTCTTACTGAAGAAATAGAAGTAAAGAACTAGGGTTTTTTCTTTCTTTTCTTGACTGTTGAAGTCATGAAACAAATCTCGTGGTCTTTGGTCACTTTGTTGACTGAGAACTAACTTCCTAGCAATTATTGTGGTAGTGCTACAATTTAGAACTCATTCCTTATTGGTGTTTTTAAGTTCCTGACATATTATATGTGATTACAAATTCATTTTGATTTTGACGTCTGTTTTCTTACACTTAAATTCTAAAAGAAATCTCTGGTTAACCATCAGGTTGAGGTCATATTCCCAAGAATATTATATTCCAGTATGATAATTGAATTACTCTTTTCACGTTTGATTTATTGGGAATTTGGTCAGTATGTGCTTAGGGATGAGATGGCATTTTTATTCTGCGAAAGCCATTTAAGATTCCCATCAGATTTTGTTAATGAATGCTACTCATGCAGCAACAGCAGTCAGTGACCTGAGGCCACTGTGAAGTTGAAACTGAAAAGATTTGAAGTAAAATTTTTCTTCTTGGCTGCCTTGAAACCCAAGGTCAATGTGCCCAACTTCATTTGATGGCCGTTGGAACATCTCCTGGCTATTTTAAGATTTAGTTAATAGGAAAAATATTTGGCAACTATGAGAGTGAAAATATGAATATAGGATGCCACAGTTGGTACTGGGTCTGTAAACGTTAGTGTGCTCCTTCACACACAAGGCTACAGCCAGTTTAGAAGCTTTGTGTATGGACTTGGGCTCTGGTGTATTAATTAGCTAGACTAATTCTATAAGCAAGATGATGGTAGACAGACAGCCCATGATGGAACCTTCACTCTTAGGATCAGAGAAATGGTATCAGATAATTGATTTCACAGATAACAGATAGCCCATGATGGAACCTTCACTCATAGGATCAGAGAAGTGGTATCAGATAATTGATTTCACAGATACTGTTACCTAGAATGAAGTAAGAGGACGTGTATGAGAGTCCTTACAGTCTAGGTGGATATTTGGGATTTTATGACAGCTATATTAACACTTTAGTTTTCTTTTCTTTTTTTTTAATTTCTTGTTGGCATGAGATTTACATAACTTGAAATTAATTATATTTTTAAATGAACAATCGGGAGCATTTATTTGGAGCAGTGTTGTGCAACCACTGCCTCTAGTTTATAGGACACTTTACCATCCCAGAATAAAACCGCATACCCATTAAGCAGTTGTTCCTCATCACTCCCTTGGCTCAGCCCCTGACAGTCACCAATCTGCATCAACTCTGTGGATTTGCTTGGTCTGGATAATTCATATAAATGGAATCATACAATAGGTGGTCTGTGGTTGTCTTTTTTTTTTTTATTTTTTTTTTATTTTGAGATAGAGTCTCACTTTGTTGCTCAGGCATGAGTCTGAGGCATGGTCTTAGCTTACTACAGCTTCAAACTCCTGGGCTCAAATGACCCTCCTGCCTCAGCCGTTTGCGTAGGTGGGATTATAGGCATGCTTTCCTGTGCTCAGTGCATTTTTTAAAGTTTTTGTAGAGATGGGATCTGGCTATGTTGCTTAGGCTGTTCTTAAACTCTTGACCTCAAGTGATCCTTCCTTTCACCTCGGCCTCCCAAAGTGCTAGGACTACAGGTTTGAGCCACTGTGCCTGGCCTGATATGTGACTTTTTGTGTCTTAACTTCTTTCACTTAGCATGTTTTCAAGATTGTGACATGCATCAGTATTTTATTTCTTTTTAACGGTTGAACAGCATTCCACTGCATGTATATACCACGTTTATCCATTAATAGGCATTTGAGCTATTTCCTGTCTTTTGGCTATTGTGAATAATGCTGCGTACATGTGTTTGTTTGAGTATGTAGTGGGGTTTTTTTTTTGTTTGTTTTTGTTTTTTTCTCCTGAGACAGAGTCTCACTCTGTTGCCCTTGCTAGAGTGCTGTGGTAGCTGGGATTATAGGTGCCAGCTAATTTTTTTATTTTTAGTAGAGATGGGGTCTTGCTCAGGCTGGTCTTGAATTCCTGAGCTCAAGTGATCTCCCACTTGGCCTTCCAGAGTGTTGAGATTATAGGCGTGAGCCACCACACCTGGCCTGCGTACCTGTTTTTAATTCTCCTGGGTGTATGCCTAGGACTGGAATTGCTGGGTCATAAAGATCATTCTCTGCTTTAACTTTTTGAGGAGCAGCTGAGCAGTGGCCACCATGGCTGTGTGGTTTCACATTCCCACCAGCAATGCAGAAGGGCTCCAGTCTCTCCACATCTGACTTGTTGTTTTCCCTTTTTTTTTTTTTTTTTTTTACACCAGAGGCAGATACCAAGGGAATTAAATTGTAAGTTCTAAATGTTAGGTGTATGGTTGCTGTAGCTCCTAAAATGCACATCCCATCTTTTCTTTGGTAGGTGCTGGTGTGATCATGGTACTGATACCCTTAATTTTGCCCCTTTGAAATGTTTCTTTGGAGGCGGCGCCTGTGGCTCAAAGGAGTAGGATGCCAGCTCCATATGCCAGAGGTGGTGGGTTCAAATCCAGCCCCGGCCAAAAACTGCACAAAAATAAAGAAAGAAAGAAATTTTTCTTTGTGGCTGAACCCTTGGTGAAAAGAACTTGGGCATATCCTCATTGACTTTTAGTGTTTTGTCCTGTGATATATATTAAGCTGTGATGGTTTGATGTTGTTGAACTTACTTCCTAAGCAAAAAACAGAAGAAGAAGAAAATCCAGAGCATGTAGAAATTCAGAAGATGATGGATTCCCTCTTCTTAAAATTGGACGCCCTCTCAAACTTCCACTTCATCCCTAAACCCGTAAGTGTGTAGTAGTCACTTATAAAACTAGGTCTTTATTTGTTTTTAGGGTGCAAACCTGCAGGAATTTCCTATAAATTACAGGCAGTGTCTCCCTGAGGAAGGCTCACTCTGGTCCCATGACAACTGTGCCCTCCCCTGCTGACCCAGCCAGGTCTCCACTGGGCCCTAGCTAGCCCCTTAGCCACAGAATCTCCTTCCCTCTCCTCCTTAGTCTTCTGTTGCATTTTCGACGTGTGATGGGTTTGGAGACATGTGGGTATCTGTGCCTGGCATCTATTGAATGCCTGCTGTCTGCCTTGTTAGGTCCTTTTCATACATTAACTCCTATTGCACAGAACACTGAGGCAGATATTACTCAGTCCATTTTACAGGTGAGGAAACTGAGATTTAGGAGATGAGAAATTAAGAACTAACTCTCCCATGCGTTCTCCATTGCATATGGTCTCTTTCCCAGGCCCGTACTCCCCAACGCTTTCCCCTCTGTTGCTGCCACTCAGATGCAGCTCAGTAGCTGCCTGCTCCACAGAGCTGCATCTCCTCTCCACACCTTCTGTGGACCCATAAAACATGCTTGTACCATCCTTCTAGGACTTCCTGCCGTTTGGTGTCTGGTGATGTCTGAAATTGAATGTCATGATTTGAGGACTAGTCTAGAAGTCAGAACCTGAGTCTGACTTTGCTCCTCACTAGCTTTATGATTTAGGCAAGTTGCTTTATATTTCATCAGTGTAGAAGTGGTCTCCGAGATACTTTTTGATTAGATGATGGGTAGGTGATTTTTCCAGTGTATATGTTTTCTTAAACAGTAAGCTTCTCTCACCTGTTTACTGTTTTGTTCTATAGACAGGGTCTTGCTCTGTTGCCCAGGCCATGCAGTGGCATTTTTTGTAGGAGATGGAGATGGGAATCTCATTTTGCTGTCCAGGCTGGCCAAGCGATCCTCCCATCTCAGCCTCCCAAAGTGCTGGGGTTACAGGTGTGAGCCACTGTACCCAGACTGTGAATGTGTGTTTCTAATCAAGTTGTAATTAAATAAGAGTAAGTTTTGATGACAAGAACCGTCCTTTATTCCCAAGTGCCTAGCGGGTATAAGCAGATGAAAAGATGAGTGGATTTCTCAGCTTCTTTTGACCAGCAGGTCTTACTATGAAAAAGTCTCACTGATGGTGAGGGGCATGAGCCCTGCAGGGGCCCAACCAGGCTCTGTGTGATCTGGCCGTTCCTGCCCCTTTATCTCCCTGGCTTGCTACTCCCAGTCACAATGACTGCTGGTGCCTTCAGTTGGCTGAGTCTCTTCCTCATACCTTGCTGGGTTCTTTCTCAGGCTCAAAAAGCTGCATATGGCCGGTTCCGTAGTGTTCAAGGCAGATGCCTCCCCATTCCTCACAGACTCTCTTGGCCCTTTAGGAGGCCCTTCTTTTCTCCCTGACTGTGTCACTGGCCCAGCCTCTTTCCCATGTAGCACCATGGCACAGATGAGGTTCTTGGCTGGTTGGTCATTGCTCCCTATTTCTCTTCGAGTGGCACTGAACATACATGCTGTTCCATTCCTTCCATTTGCTCTAGCCTGTGGCCCAGCATGGGGAAAGCCCTCAGACAGTCCTTGGAATCTTGGGAAGTGAAGGAGTGAATGTGTTTGTGTCTGTGTGCCCCAATTTCAAAGCCTTTCTTACTATTTTCCTCTGAGGAAATGTGGAATTGCTGGTATAGGTTACTCTTGGTATTACTTTTTTCACATTCAGGTTGGTGTTTCATACCCTGTCTCTGTAGATAGCA